CTAACAACTATAATTCCATGGTTAGGAGACACTTCTCTTTGTTCTTTGTCAACTTCCAATTCATTGTTTTGTTTTCATAACTTACCGGAAATTGGTAGAAATGACCAGACAATGCCTATATGTATACCCTATAGCAATCAGCCTATACCTGCTAGATTGTATTAAAGGAAACACATACACACACACTCACACACACACACACACACACATCTGTTCTGGAAACTATTTTCTATTTCTTCTATAGAATAGAAAAGGTCATATGAAATGTGGCATAAAAGCTGATGTATCCCAGAAGTTTAGTCCATAAGTCCAGCCAATAAAAGACATCTATGGATCCAAAGTAACAGCAAGAACTGGAATATTACCCAAGGTAAAAAGTTTGAAGGCAGATATTTGCTTTGGGGATATTTTTTTTTACTGCAGATTTACTCTTGCCTAATTGTATCTGATATCTTTCATGGGTCATTTCTGAATTTTTAAAAATTCCTATTATGTGTTGTGTTTCATGTTTTATCCCTTGCTGCCACATGTATCCCACTCCAGATTCTTATTGCTAACTTTGGAAAATTTTCAAGCTTCAAAACTCACCTAAACATTTATATTCCTCAACCATTACCCCAAATTCCATCACAGGAAATGTTTCTTTTCTCAACATCCTCTTCACTCACTTGTATTGTAATCCTTCACACTACATTGTAACACCCTGTGATCTACTTGTTGGTCTCTCTCATTCTTCAAGGCAGAGAACTGTTATGTAACTGAATTTCTAGCACCTAGCACTGTACCTACTAGCTTTTAATAAATGCTTGTTGAATGAATAAATTAATGACTGGATGAATGAATAACAGTCATTATCCATGGAATATTTTAGATTTCATTATTCCTGAAGTTAGGTACTAGATTGAATGTTATGCTAATTTTTAGGATGAAATCTATCATTTGTGGTCATATTCAACTTTGACAAGTTTTGTGTTAGATCACTCTTGTGGATATGCATAAGAATATAAAGAGTTTCACATGACACTAAGGATTCCACATTACAGGCAAGTCATGTGATACTTTATCAATCAGTGCTGTGATAGAATATAATAGAGGCTCACTCTAGCTGAGAAGGCAAATAACTAATTGTCCAATTCTAATTTAGTGTGTAATGAAGATAAGATTCAAAGAGTGAAAAACCAATATAAAGAGAGAGCAATTGCCCTTTTCATTTATGCTTTTTTCTCTTGATGTTTGCTCTATTGTTTGTATACTGAGGAGTGCTTGAAATTTACTGTTGAGTGCTCTATGAACTCAAAATTGGCTTCTTTTATTTTTATTTATTTATTTATTTAAAAAAAATTTTTTTTGGCTTCTTTTAAAGAAAATATACCATACAAACCTATTATGGTAATAAAGTAATACCTCAATTCATGAATGTTTCTGTTTGCAAACAGTTCAGTCTGCAAACAAAAGTGTTGGGCAACATTTTACTTCTGTTCACAAACTCTGCATCAGGTGACAAACACAACCAAGGCTGTCTTCCCCAGCCAAACACAAACACAGTCATTTTCCCCCAAACCATTAAGCTAGTGAAGTTTGTAAACTGAGTTACTGCTGTATATTAGAACATGGGATAAGAAAATACTGCTGGTTGACAGAAAATATGTTGAGAATCTCCTGGCAGAGAATCTCACCAGACCTAACAAAAGAAATACAGAAAAGATGCAAAGTTTTGAGTTGTTATCAAGGTCACTTTATTGACCACAAATAATGTTATAAGTAGATTATATGGAAATTCCAATGATAGTTGTTTTTATGATTTATTTTCAAAATGTCTCCCCAAGTCTCCTGTGTTTAGAGAGTGACTGGGTCAAGGGAGTGCTATATGCACCAGTAGATTCATCCATTGATAAATTTAGTAGCTGAATGTGGTGTTAGGAGATGGGGCCTGAATGGAGTTGGGTCACTGGGGGCCGGAAGTGTATATTCTTGCCCCCTGGCTTCTTTCCCCTCTCTCTGTCTCTACTTCCTAACTGCTATGGGTTTTGTATCTGTTTCTCCACCACACCCCTCTGCCTTACTCTTGTGACCATGGACTGAAACTGTGTAAGCCTTTCCTCCCTTGAGTTTGGGGAGTGAGGTATTTTGTCCCAGGGATGTTATACTGGCAGATATGGTACCTGGCAAGTGCTTGCTACTTTGTTCATAGATGACAATTTTTTCACTGTTTAGGAAAACAGGAAGCTCTTTACAAAGGCAATATCCCACTGATGAGGGCTCCACTCTGATGACCTAATCACCTGTAGACATCATTAAATGATTAAGTTTCAACATATGAATTTTGAGGGGAAACATTCAATCATAGTAGTGATTAAAACCCTTATTAAAATGTTAAAATATATTCTACTATTATAGTGCTAAATATAAAAGCCACAAGGATGTTAAAGATAAATTACAAGATTTTAAAAGATTGTCAAGCTTCTGATATAGCATTTTAGCAGGGTATGAAACATAGTAAAGACTTATCTAGAAGGGAAAGTTCCCTGTCCTGACCATCACTGCCCAGGAAACTATTTGTTTAAAGAAGACCTATTGACTTTAATGTCTCCATAACTGTTTGTGCTGCTTTTATTCCTAAATCAAATTCTTGTCCCTTCCTTTGGTAAAAATAACTCCTTCCTTCCTTCCTTCCTTCCTTCCTTCCGCAAATATTTGATGAACTCTATTCTGCCAGGTGTTTTATGAGGTCCTGGGAATTTAGAGATAAAGAGACTCTTCAGGTGGTAGTGAGAGGAAGTAGAGTCATACAAGATCATTGGTAAATAGTGGCAGGTATTGCTCAACACATACTTATCATCATGGTTAATATTTTCCACATATTCTATTTAAACTTTATACAACATCTGAGAAATAAGTTTTGTTAATCTTTAAACTTTGCATCAATGTCACACAATAAATATGGTACACAATAAGTGACTTCATCAAATTAAATTATAAGTCTATTTGATTCTGACTTATGCTTTTTTTTTTTTCTTTGCAGTTTAGTGGATTGGATCCAGGCTTTTGTACTGAGCTAAATACCCAGACTACATCTCAAGCTCTTTTTTAATTTTTAGTTTTGAAACAGAGTCTCCCTAAGTCACTAATTTGCCAGGGTTGGGCTCCATCTTGCAATATTCCTTCCTCAGTCTCCAGAGCACTAGAATTACAGTTATGAACTTCACTTGGCTTTATTTAGACTTTAAAACATCACTTACTGCCCTGTTTGATAAGTTATCTTTCAGCTCCAACTTGAATGTCTAATCCTATCTTATTTCTTATTTTCTTTGAAAATTCTCTTACCATTTAATTACATTCTTTTTTTGTGTGTTCCTATATTCTTTACTAGCATGTATTTATATCTGCTTCCTGTTACACTTGAGTGAGAAATCCCCCAAAGCAGATTCCGTTTCTGACCCTTGGATAGGCTCCGCAGAATGTGGCAGGAGAGGGCGGCCCTCATGATAGATCAACACATAAAAGTTTCACTGAGCTCACACTTGGCTGCCTACAGGCCTGAAGGTTGTGTTGTTTTTCCTGGAAAGAGTGCAAAAGCCTGCCAAATTTGAAAATGAGTTTATCTTAAATCCTAGTTTCCCTATATCTTTTATAAATTGGGAATATTTGAGATTATTCATTGGTTAAACATTCCTTTCTGATGACACCAGGCTAGAGCCAAGTGGCTACCATCTGCCTCACAGGGCCTTGCACTGCAGCTCCCAATGTTCCCATTGCTTCTGCTTCACCACTCATGAATCTTCACCACTTACCATTTGCACAAAACTGGCCCTACAATTTCCAACCTTTCTTCTTTCTTCTCTCAAGTCTCTTAATGTCTGTATATCCACATAATGGTTACTGTCTATAAAATACTTTTTTATAAAATAATTTTAAAGAGAAAAATAACTGCAAGTAAAATTCAAAGCTGTCAAAGTGTTGTCAATAAAACACACATAATGGTGATCTATTTATTTAAAACTACTATATCTATATAATTTAAGAAGACTGATATGTCTAGAGTGCCTCATTACTACCCAAATATTAAAATGTATACTAGGGGTATTCTCATGAATGGAATGGCATATATAATTTCTCATCTCCAAAATGTAGATTTCTCAAGTCCATTTGTAACTGATTCATAGCTTTTTCATTGCTATTTCAGCTTACACATGAAATGTAGAAACAGTAGTATGGTGTTGTTTATAGTGATTATAATTACAGAAAAGCATTATTAATTTGAAAAGGAAGACAGAGATTGGAGTCAAGTTTTCCCTCATATTGTGAACACTTTATGCAAAGGCATGCTGAACAAATATACTGTGTAAATTTTATAAGAACCATTTACTTGACAAATTTTAGAGTCATGAATTGCTAACAATGTGAATGCACTATAAGCAAAAGCTAGGTGCTGCTTAGGTTGGTACTTTGATATAATAAGTACAAATCATTTTTATATCTTCTGTGAGGCAGGGCTTCTCAACTAGCTAGTTCAAGTTGCAATATTTATTTGAAAACAATGTAATATTGCTTCTGTGAAGCATATTGTTTCACTTTGATTTTTCATCATCTCAGACAGTTCTTTCCCCCAAGTCAACTGACTCCATTTAGTGCAAAAAAGAGGACACTTTAACAGTAAATCCCTATTAGTCACGTAAAACCTCCATAAATATAGCTATTGCATTTTTGAGAATGCTTTAATAACTTAAGAGTTGACAGAAAAACAGTCAATGTTTAAATATCATAAATAGCAGGTTAATCATCTCTATAACAACAAGAAGAATACCAAGTTGGCCTAGTTTTGCTTTGTTTGGTAATAGATAAGATTTACAGTATGTAGCTGTACATTGGCGGGTCATCCCAATACCTCAAGATACATAGGAGTACAAATGAATGTCTTACTTCCATTGATAATCATTCATAAGACAAAGCATATTTAATAACCTCAAACAATTAAAATTGATAATAAAATCATTTCCTACCTGGGTAACTTTCTCTGTCACATTGTGGGTTCGATCTTTAACTTTGGGTGCAATAATAGTTTTATCTGAAGAAGGAGGGGATGTATTCTTTTTTTCAGTTTTGACATCTGAAAAATTCAGAGTAAGCTGTGGTATCTTGTTAATGGTGCTGTATTTGTTGAGGTTTGAATCCGATGTGGATCCCAGGAGGCTTGACTTGATATGATTAAAAGGCCCTAAAAAAGTTGGAAAGTATTGGTAAAAATAATATCAAAAGAAATTTTAAAAAGAGAAGTGTTTCTAAGTCCCCTGTTAATGATCCATGTCCAATGTGGCCCTGATTCATTTACAACTAAATACATCCAGGTGATACCTAAACATAGAATTTAGAGTCACCTTCTGCCACACGGAGGGTCATGGAACTATTGGGATAAGACTGGGTCCTAGGTATACACCCAGGGAGCAAATGACATCCTAAGCCATTAGTTGGGTTTTTTCACTTATGACTGATAGAAAAAAAAACCAAACTCTACTCCCTGTTATTGGCCAAATTCTACCTTCAAAGTTTTTCATTAATTTTGTTTTATAATCTAGGGATTATTCAAGGAAGAACTTTCCTATGGTTCCAATCATGTTGGCCATGAAATTTATGAATGGGTCATGCATTTATGAAGTTTACCCTGCACCAACTTGACTTACTCTCTTTCTGTGTCACTGAGAAGTATCAGGCCCTTGGGGTTCTTCACATGCTTCCACTACCTGTATGAAATACCCCACAAAGTCTACAGAAGTTTAAACCCAGATGAAATTGAAAAGCACAAAAGTTCATTAGTATGTATGTGCGCATGTGTGGATGTGTGTGTATACTTTATTAGAAACTACGAAATTCTGTGTGGGATTTTAAAATCTTTCTATCCATTTTTTTCTCTCATTTACATTTAAGAGTAAACACTTTCCAAGAAATAAGAAAAGCCATTCTAAAAACCACATAAGCAAAAAGCTCTAGTAAACACATCTTATATTAGAAGTGACCATGGCTAGGTAACAGAACATGTTTGGGGTTGGTAATTTCCACCCGTCTTACGTTCTGTTCCCACAAAAATCATTTGGCAAGTGCTGACTCTTGTTTCCTTTGCTGTGAGTGAGTAGCCTGACTATCAACATCTGACTCTTGTCTGTTGCTTACAGAGTCAGAAAATGCTCCAAAGAGTTTCTTGTGCAGTGGGTATATTACTCATGTAATTATTTGGTGGTTAAAAGTTAATATCGGGAATAATTTTATACAAATCCTGGGTCCACTTGTGTTATACAGTATCTTTCTGCCTCAGAGTGGTGAAAACATACAAATTTCATGAATGAACTTCTACATGGCATATTTTGTTTTATGTTATTTTGTTTCTTGTTCAGACTGAAATACATACATTTTAGGGATCAAAATGTACTTCAGGCATCAAGCAAAGCATAAACACTTCACAATCAGACTGGTAGATTGCATATTTTGGATTCCAATGATCAATCAACTCAAGTCAAACATAGTGCTAAAACATAAATCTGTACTCATCATTTCATTCACAGTTTCTGTGGGGAAAATTTCACTATACTTGCATATAAATGTTTATGCTTATTTATTATAAAACTTTGAAGTAATTTTAAGAAAACTTTTATGTATTTAACAAATATTTTATCTATTTAACTGCATTTTTCTTCTTTCCCATGGTGATAACATCTATTTAGGTGAAAATATCATTGAGTTCCCTGATCGTTTTGTGCCCCTAGTGTGCTCATCAGAGTAAAAAATAACACCAAGATAGACAGACCTATCTTCAAACAGGTCTCTGACTGAAGGTTCATTCTCTAGGTCCTCGTAGAAATCTTCATGTCACATATATTTCTTATTATAACATATTCCAGATAGCATTCTCTTGCTTTGATTATTCTATGTCTATATGTAGGCACATATTTTAACATTTAAATTTTTTAAATATGCTAGAACTTTACACTAATTATTCATCTTTTTCCCAATTCTAATGCCACATTTTTATGCTTTATGTAATTTAACTGTACCCAGAGACATAGAGTTCAGGTATATAGTTAAATTGTATTAAAATCCTTCAAATCCATGTTTCAGTTCTCTTTCTATATCATCCTTGCTTATGTTGAATTTTTGTAGCAAATTGTATATAAAGATATTTTGGGTAAGACCTAGATTATCTATGATGTTAATAGGCAGAAAAGCACTGTTAATATACTTTGCTTATCCTTGTTACCAGTTCCAATAAACTGTATTTGCTACACTTATAACCATAAGGTCTCTGCTGTGACAGCACTTCATCTGTGGGAACATTTAGGAGAGCATTTCTGGCTTTCATAAAGCTGGAAGAATTTGAATATCAATCACAATCATTTTGATAAATTGGTCCAGTGCCCCAAGGGACATTCCTGGAGATAAAATGCTTGTTGGTAATGATCTGAATCTTGTACTAGTTTCACATAAAATAGGGCAATGTGTTTTTACATGGTTTTAACATAAATTAAAATTTTCAGAACTAACACTACTATGAGGAGGGAAAATAAATATTGCTTTATTCATAACTCTATTAAAAGTTGTTTGTTATTTTTGGAAAATTGTGATACTGAGAGTTACATTCTTTGGGGTACCTTTGTGTTGGGTGGCCAAGACAAAAGTTTGGAGTTCAGGTCACAGTCTGGATTGTATCTATCATTTGAAAATATGAAAACTAAGAGATTTGGGTCATTTTTTTGTCAGTTTTGGGGCCAAATATTACTAAATTTGCAGATAATTGTAAGAATCATGTTAAAATGATGAATAATATTTCTTTTAAAATATTTTGCTTCATTATTCTGTGCATGTGCAATGATGTATGAAGTGAAAATCTGTGTGCTACACAACTAAACATCTAAAATTCTTGGTCTTAGGATCATCTGTTGGTGTTTAATCTCATCCTAATAACTCTGGAGATCTGCAACATTTTTCAAGACATTTTTGTAATGTCTAGATGATCATTTACTTCTTCAATTCATTTTCTCTTTTTCATTACTTAAGAAAGCATATAGTTTGCAAGTCATTTTTAAAAATATGAAGATAAATGTATACTCCAATATCTAGTGGTAGTTTTTCTTCTGTGCAATTATTGTTGTATTTTATCACACAGAGAAATATTTTGACAGGATGTTTAAAATTAAGGGTCAGGTCACTGTGAGAATCTGATACTTTCTAATTTCTCCCTAATTTTTCTTGGTATATGATTATTTTAATTATTTTCCACTTTTAAGATTCATATATTTCCAATCTTTTATTATTAATTCCAAATACCATTATTTTACTATGAACCCATATTTCTGCTCTATCATTTTATTGGTTTGCATAAGGAATGTTTTCTCCTGTCTTTAATGGTTTTAAAGCACAATATATTTCATACATATGATTAATGCATTCTATCTTCTAGTGTATTTATAGCTGAACACTAGCATTTTCAAAGAACAATAATTTGATTATAAACTGGTTTCCTTTTTATTTCTCCTTTATATTACATTTAGGAAATCATGTAGATCTTTTACATATAGGTTAAATTGCCTCTGAATTTCATTACAGGATAATAAAGTAAGTATAATAAAATATTTGTTGAAACAAGGAAAGATCATGTCTGATATAGATGTGAAACTGAAGAAAAATCATACATTTTTTTTATGAGTTTGAAATTTCATCCAATCACTATTTTAGCTTTTCATATTTACTGTTGGAAAAATATTCGAATGGTTTCTCCAATCTATTTTCTTTTAAACTCTTAGTCTGAGAGAGCTATCTAGATATCTAGTCTGAGAGAGATAGCTAGTCTTAGAGAGAATCTAGATATTTTTAAGTTGATTAATTTAATAATTTCAGCATAATTTAATATATTACTTAAAGTAACTAATGCACACTACTTAGATTGGGAACTGAAATTTATTGCATCTTGTGAAATAAAGATAATTATGCTTCTGTTGAACTTGAATCAGATTTTCATATGTAAAAGTCTTCTAGAGTCTTCAAGAGTATCAATGTTGGGTTAAGTTTCTCTAAAATCTTATCTAAATTCCAAGAAAAATGTCCATTGCTTTATGGTAGGAATTAACAATATCCTTATTTCACCAATTCTAAAATTAAACTGACAGAATATGAGGCCAAATGGACCTAAAAAACAAGGACTATAAATCAGAATACAGGCTTTCCTACCTCCTAGGTCTATATTCAGAGAGGCCTTTGTAGAGGATTTAAAGGTGAAAGGCAGCCTCACTGAGAGGGATTATGAACAGAAGGAATTTAGGATTCTAATGAAAGATAGGAGAATAGCCTGAAAAACAAAGTAAGTGAATTTAAAGAAATTTAATAGGCAGAAGTAAGAGAAGTAATAGCTTCAACTGAAAGAAATGTAAAACTCAAAAGTATACAGTAGGACTAAATGTTCTTTAGAGTAACATTTGCAAGATAGATAACTAGATTAAATTATTTAATATATTAGAAGAGGGGGGAAAACCATGATCAAATAAACTAAACCAACATCTGGATAAAGTTTTAATATGTTTCAAGTATCTGATTAAATATAAAGTAGGACAATTTACAAAGAATTACTCTACATTTAGAGATCAAGCTAGAGACTAAAGCAAAAACTGGGGAAAAGTTTAGGTTAAAAAATTTAAAATTTACATGATTATGATATTTAAATATATTATGTGTTATGATAAATTAAAGTAGAATTTACTCACTTTTCAACAATGCTATAAGTATAGATAAGTACTCCATATATATATTATTTTAAAAAATTATTCTTGAGGGCAAAATGAAACAGGAAAGAAGAAAAACAAAAGGATTCAGTATACTTTTGAATCATCATGTCTGTGTACAATATTTCGTAGGACATTGAGCTTACTTGATTAAAGTTTAAAAGAACTCAAATTGCTGAAGTGGCTTAACATTGAAGAAAACATTAAGTAATTAAGCCTTCTATAAGAACTTTGTTAGTAAACATAAGCCAGTAAGTTTAACCTGTAAAGACATGTATCAGAAATAATCATCAAATCACTTGCATTCAGAATCCACAATTTCTGTTCCAGCAGATGACATGTAATTTAAAAAGGAAAACAGTTGTCACTGAAAAATGAATTTGGAAATCCTTATAAGATCACAAAATTCTGGGTAATGGCCAATGTAACTTATGTGAAACAAGTTGTATCAAATTGATTTATTTCCCTTATGAGTCTGATGTGTTTCCTGGCTAGCATGCAGGTGAAAGCTATAATAAATCTTCACAGTAGTTTTGTTTCTGACTCACATGACAGGTTCATACACAGTTGGAAACTAAACATACCAATATTAGAAAAATGTAGGGCTTCTTAAGAAAATAAGGAAAAAGACGTAACAGAGGGACAAAATTTTATCTATGATATTTATTAGAATAAATGGAGTAAATTTTGTATTGATGATTTAAAAGGCAGGCCAGAGAGAATAGCCACCATGATTAAGGTTAAAAAGTTTATGAATGATTGGGGTAAGATTACCCCTCTCACATGTTAAAGAAATTATTAAAAATTATAATACATAATTACACATATATTGAATGTGCAGTTTATTTGAAGTAGCTTTTTCACTCCTTGATAATAGGTTATACTTTCTCAAAAAGACACCTCTGGTGTTATTTTAAGAAGACAGAATATGAAAGAAATTTATTAAATGAAACAAAATAGATTCCAAGAAGAAGGAGAAGTAGAAATTATTTTATTTTGGAAGAAAAGTACCAATTTGCTGTGTTCATGTTGTAATGCTATATTAAATATTAGCATAGCCAGAGATACTGTATCAGTATCTCTGTCCAATGGAGATAGATGAGAGGAAAGAAGAGAATATTTCAGCAAGAGGGATTTAGGCTGGCTCTTTGTGCAATAGGAACTAAAACGGACTTCCCAAGACAGTTAAAGAATGGCCTCTTCTGGAGATAAAGATGCTGGTACGACTTGTGCAAAGGAATCAGCCAACACCTCACCTAAAGGGAAAAAACCAGATGATGTTGAAGACCTTCCAAATGTATTCCTAAATTACTTATTTTGTTTTGTAATAAAATGATTTTTGGTTGAATTAATTATTGAAATCATTAATTATAATTTTGCATTTTGTATACAAAGCAGTTTAGAAATGTTTTTTATTTTGTAATTTTAAAAATTTAATCTGTTTTAGAAACAAAGCCGAAATGTTTAAAACCTCACTTAATACATTATGAAAATATTAAAGGAAGGCTCTTAAATATTGTTTAATAGCACTCAAGGCTAGAACATGAAGGAATAATGAAAACTTGGGAGTGTATATTTACATTAAAGTTTTATTAAGTTTGCAAATATTTCCTCCAATTTAGGGGTTTAACTTTATAATTACTAATATGTTAAAACTTTCTACAATGATTTAGGAAATATTAATCCCAAGTTCTGGCATATATTCCAAATTGTTTTTGAATTGAAATCTGGATTTTAAAAGAAAAAAATGTTTTTATTCAGACTATTGCTATTGCAAGGTAGTAGAAGGGAATTGAAGATGAAGAGTTCATTTGATGAATTAGTTTATAAAATTAAAAACAAAATGACTGCAGTTTTCAGGTAGGTGAACTATTAATTTCAACCATGAGCCAGTCTAATTTTCTATTTATTGAGAGAAAAAAAGATTCATTCTACTTTAAAAAAAACATTGGAAAATTAATATCTTCTAATTTACTGCTAATTGTTAAATACTAAACCTGTCATATTTCACACAGGCAAGTTGGCAAGAGCTGTCTGTATGCTGTTTCTTGAGGTTACATTCTCAATTGTGTAACTAAAATCATCACCCATAGCTGACACTAATTTGTTCCCTTTTAAAAATCACACTGGACAGGCCAAGGACAGAATAATTATGTACAAAAGATAAAATCCCATCCCACTATTAGAGGTAATCTGCAAAGATCCTTATTGAAGTGCTTACAAAATAAAGTTTGGAGGGGTAAGGGGAGACTGCTACAATTCCATTATTTTTAAATTATCCTGGACTGCTGACTAGAAAATATTCTTGGTTTCCATTGTTATTAATTCATAATCAACACCAGCTTTGACTTCTTTAAGGAAGCAATTGAGAAACCCAAACATAAAACTGCACAGTGGTTAGAATACCAATGACATATAGAAGTGGCTAATACGGTAAATTGTAAGTAATGATGGTTACTGGTGGAGACGTGTTCATGCAACACACATGCACAAAATGAGTCACTGTCACCATTTGCACATCCACATCAGCATGCATGGCCTCAATCAAAAGACCAAACCAAGAAGTTTCAATTTGAAAAGAATAATATGGCTTTCATGTTCTACTGTGATATAGTAGATAACCGAAATGAATTTCAAATTTTCAGCCAAATCCAAATTTAGTCAGAGTGTTGTCCAATTCAACATTATCCTATGGGAGCTGTAGGTGAAGCCATTGATTTCAGAATAATATAGAATATGATTAAAGAATGATTAAATGACTCTCATGCATGTACAGTATACTACTACAGTAAGCTTAAAACCATACCCCCTGCCATCCAGGAACGTGAAACTAGTTTTAAGGAAACAAAAGAGGAACAAATGAAGTGACGCTGTCATATAGCACTTTTTTCATTTTTTAATTTAATCATTAACAATTTTCCCCAAGATAGGCTATGTGCTTCTTTCACACTGAAATATATTTAGCTTTATATTTGTTTATTTCCAAATGATTTAAATATTTATGAAATGTTCATTGTAAACCTACAGTTTCACTTCTTGTAGAAAAAAGGTGTTCATAATTATTTTGATGACACAGCTGAGAAAGTAACAATGTCTCCAGCAAAATCAAGCCATGATGTCTCCACCAGGCACCTGGACTAGCTAAGGGCAGCATGGAGTTGTGGCACTGAACAGGGCATACAGCAGGCAAGTTAACATGCCGAGTAAAGGGGCACTGTAAGCATCAGATGGTGAAATTTGACTTCGTACATTACCTTTGACATTGCGACCATTGTCTGTTTTGAGCGTATAGGGACAAAAAAGAGAGAAACATAAAAAGAAGACTAAAATTATCTTACACACACTGAATTGCCTTTGTAAAAACAATCAGAGAAAACAGAATGTGATGACTGAAATGTATTTTTGATTGAAATTAACACTGTATATTATTCAATCAACTAAATGCATGCAGTAGAAATATCTGCCATCATAAACATTCTTGGAGAAGTATGGGAAATATTTATTTTAATTAATTTCAATGGATTCCAAGGCACAGATTTTATAATTATGACAGTTTGGAGAAAGACAACCACAGTTGCCGGCAGTTGTGATAATCTTCAACCTTGTCAGATGTCAATTTTGGTTTCCCCGAAAGAATCACTCACAATCACTTACATAGGAAGATCACGTATTTGGGATGTTAAATGTTTTTGTATAATGTAACCTAGTGTGTTAACGAGGAAAAGTGTTTCTAAAATAACAGTTTAATAAACCAACTTGCATTAATCATAATTTTATTAATTGTCCCCTACTCTAGAATGCTCTTCAATGTATATTTTGAATATAACAGTAACCAAAAAAGTCTTTATTTGGCAATAATAATAACAAAAACTCAGTGAATTTGACCTTATGCGGGAAATGTGTATGTCTTTTATTGATAGGATTTTTTATATTAAAATGGGCTGTTTTCAAGTCTTAGAGTGGTGTTTTTAGATTTATTTCAAGATTGGGAGTCTAAATTTTGAATACATGTTGCAAACAAAATATATATTACTAGCTTTGAAACACATAAGCTCAAAATGAACTCACATCAAACCAATCAAATATATCCAAGATTTGAAAAATCTGTTTAACATTTAGTGGACAAATATATTATCACTATACACATTTAAAATCCTAAAATATATCATAATTATTTCAAAGCTTATTTCTGCAGTAATCCCAATAGTGTAGCATATTGAATTAGTAGAACAGACTTGGTATGGATATAGATACCTAAATAGAATGTTGCATTTGATGACAATTTTCTTCCCTCTCTGAGGGAATCACAAAAAGTGAGTTGGGACAAGAGAAGAGATTTTGATAACACAGAAATAATTTCTTTGTCAGGAGCTTGGTCTAAAAGACATTAATATAATAACTTCCTGCAGGCAGTTAAAATTATAAATATATGCAACAAACATAGAAATTACAAGATTTACAAATGCTCAGAAATTTACCAAAAGGTTACATTATGTTGATGTTTCAAGGTGTAGTGAAAGGGCTGTGCGTAATACTAAGATCTGGTTATTGTTCCTCCATGGAAATGTAAGTGCACACATTAAAGAAGTTAGAATCTTATCTAGCAATTTCATAGACTGATTTCGTGACTTTTAAATCTAATGATAAAACAATCGAGATTTGTATTTTATACATCTATTGTTTAATTTTATTTTCCTAGTAATACATTTTTATTGAATTTACAAATGGTACACTAGAAAAAGAAATCAGGTGCTTCACCAAGATGGTTTGAAAAGTACAGTCCTAGGATGCTTGAATAAATGAAAGGATTATATAAACAGTTATGTACTAATAATATATTTGCAAAATATTTAAAGTTCTGCAAAGATAGCTTATACAGGTAAAATGAAACATTCTGAATGCAAAATTGGTGCATGTAGAAATTAACCTTTTAGCCCCATTTCATGGATTCATAAAGTTAAAACCAATTGTGTGGTTTTCCATCTATTTTAATCAATAGCACAGGTTTAAAAATATATAAAATTATGTTGCCATAGGAAATAAAGTCTCTTATATGTCTATGATTTTGTAACTAAAATTGTGCTAAAGCTAAAATATAAAATGACCTCTAAATGTATTAATCTGTAGTCACATGGTGACTGTTGCATCCCAAGGAAGTGATACATTTTCTGAAGGGTAGAGGAGGAAAACTGAGGGTGATCTTAATGCCAAGTGTCCATGCATAGTACTTGTACCTAAAATTAAATATTAAATAATCTTTTCCTATAATTATATCAGTAATTGTGCACTGAATGGAGACTTCATAGATTGAAAGCAATGAAGTTATAAGACCTGGTCTAAGCTACAGAGAGCCACTGTCAAAACAAGGATGGAATCTATAGGGGGTACTGATTATGTATCAGTTTGATTTTCAAATTTCATGTTGCTGAATGTCATTGTCTTGTAACTCAAGTTATCACTGGAGAAATCTCTGAAAGGACACTCGTTGAAGAGTTGGTATGTTTTCTAAAGATGATTATACTAGCTGGACTAACTAAAAAATACATTGCTCATTTGAACTGTATTAATGAATTTATGGTTGTTGTTCAGCCATAGGATCCATTGCTTAAGGGTCAAATTACATAGGTTTCGTTCTGGGTGGGGAATACTCAGTCCATCATTACTAGAAGGTAAAATTCTTTAGATGATTATCTGGTCTTGGAATTGTCTTTGATTTTATTTTCCCTTTGACCTTCTTTGGACTGCAGATTAAAATGGGTGGACTAATTGCTCTTGTGAAGTATTGTATATAGTTTCTCAAATCTATCTTATAACAAAGTATTATTTCTGTTTTGAGATTTTAGTTTATCTTGTTGAATTTTTTTTCTGCCAACTAATTTTCTTTCAACTTTTTTACCTTTTCTACTTCACTGTGGTCTTTCTTCTATATAATTCCAACCTAAAGCATTGATTTAAATTCGAAATATCATGGAACAGATAATTCATTTCTTGATGTGTGTGATTTTGCAACATACCTGTGAGCACGGTTTCTGCAATGTCAAACCATCATTTTTTGATTGTCTGCCATAAAATGGGCAGATACATCTGATAAGACTGCAGAACTAACTCTGCAGGGCTTCTCAGGCTAGGTCTCACAGCAACACAGTTGCTATGTGTATATTTAACAATGGTAGATGTATAAGATGCAATACGCATACAATATAATATATATATGTATATATATATATACATATATATATATATGAGAATACATGAGCTTTGAACACTCAAGTATGAAATATTTCATTTTTGTGGGTTGGGTAGGGAGAAACAGGTGCCTGTAGCTAAGTGTAGTGTGAAAAGGAACAAAGTGGGAAGAACATTTTAGGCAGAACAATATAATCAAGGAAAAAAAGTCATGATAAGTTTTTGAGCACCGGCATATTATTTTGGTGAGGCTTAGAACAGAGTATATATTAGAGGAGGCAGCCTTGTAAGGGCAAAAACTGAATCTTGAAAAGCAGCTGGTCACATAGTGAAGGCCCCAGTTCTCCCCTTACTGAGGAGATTTATGGTAAGATTTCTGTTATAAAACGACAACTGGCAACACCACAGGTGATGACTGCACTTGCAGAGATGGTTACCAATGGACAGCAGGTCTCCTAAGAACCCAAATCTGTGGGAATCAGAGAAGTGGGCCTCATGTATCCAATCCATGCAGAGTACTCTGATTCTCAGACATGTTGGAGGAGTTCAGTGACTCACAGATCCTTCTTATAGTGAGATCTCAGGAAACACGAGGGAAGGAGGAAAAATGTAGCATGGATTTGATTGTGGACTCTAGGAACAGGCAGACCTGGGTTTGAAGCCAGACTCTGACACTGACTAACTAGTTCTGTAACCTTGGGTCAGTTATTTGTTTAATATAACTAAGCTTCAATTTCTCATCTATAAAATGGGGCTTAAACTGGTTCCTAATTTACAGAGTTGCTAGGAAAACTAAAAGAGAATTACAGTGTGTTAATCACTTGCATTGCCTTAGGCATAGTGAATACTCTATTAGTGTATCCACCATCATGTCAATGATGAGTTGTTTCTGTGAATGTTTTTATAGATTCCCTACTTTCACCACTGGCTAATATCAGAATGTAAACACAGAGAGAAGCCAGAGAGAAATACATAAATTCTCACTTTGTTTTTCAAGTTGCTTGGTGGGTCCCTTCCCCAATATTTCCTGCTCCTTCCTCCTATCCAAAGTGTCTGTCAGTAAATCACATTTTCTAGCCCTCCATTCAGAGAGAGTTCATGGAAAACATAGCCCTGTGACTGTGGCACACCACTTTATCCTATCTGGATGTGATCATTTGCTAAACACAGCAAAATTAATTATGTTTGAGATGAGAATGTTCATCATCTAGACTCATCTTGTATTAAGCATCAATTAATTAGCACTCCATGTAATGGGCAGATAAATGGTTATCATACTATTTCAGAAACACAGATAAAGAAGCCAGAAGAAACCAAATTGCTCACTAGGGTTCAAAGAGAAAATTAAAAACAACTCTGAATGTAAGACCTACATTTTTAATAGGCTTTAATCATAAGTTTTCTCCCAAGGCACAAGGATTAATGTTGGTACTAAAATCAATATGGAAATAACCCTTCACTACTCATTAAGGTATGTTTCTAAGTTAAACAAACAGCAGCAACATACCTTCACTGGCATGTCGGTCTCTAAATATGTTCTTGGGGTGAACACTGAATCCCTCCATGTCCTGGACTGAAGATGCCCTCCTGATACTGCAGAGGCTTTCCCTTGATCTGGAATGGGTCAGTTGGGAACTCGATTGCAGCATGTCAGGGTAGAGTCGGTCCCATTGCCTTTTGGGAGAGGAATGGTCAAGAGGTCCAGATATATTCACCAGGGGAGAGCATTTGCTGGGCTGTATCAAGGCTTTTGTATCATCTGCTTCGGAAGGACTGCAACTTTCTTTTGTTGGAGACTTGAAGTGCTTCATGGCTACTGAATCATCACTGTGTTTAGATGAATCAATTACGACCACGTCAGGGTCTTCTTGTGGTAAGGACTGCTTTCTGTAAGAGAGAACTCTCAGACCAGGGAACTTGAACCCAAAAAGTTTCCCTACAAATGGAAACAGGAAAGAACATTATTACAAGACAGTGGATATATCCTTTAAACAAAACAAATATTGCTGACTCCTATTTAAATGGAGTCAGCATGGAAAAAAGAATTAGTAATCAATACATAGCTATTGATTGAATGAGGCATTGTCAGTTGGACCAATATGAATTATAAATAGTAAGAAAATAGCAAATTATATTTTATCTGAAGATTAGATAATATCTCAGTAACATGAAAACATTATTTAGATGACAAGAAACTTTTATTGTTAATAAACTAAAATGTTTATTCACTATACAGCCACAGGTTAGATAGGAAAAGGAGAAATGACGAAGCCGAAGTGGAGGAACAAGTGGAGAATGAGTATGCTGGATGTGTGTGTGGTAGAGGTTAGTATGTTGAGAGAGAAAGAGAAGGAAGCGAGAGTGGCCCTCACATTTGGTAAAGGTTTGTACTGATGATGTTGTGAGTTGAATTAGGATTGGAAAAGTAGGGTCAGCTGTGAGTCAGAGGCTCCTCATTCCACTTGGAATTCTTGAAAGGTTTTTGGTTTCCAAAGAGGTGTATCATAAAGTTAAGAAGTTCCTTTTTCCTGCTTTTTGTTGTTATTGTCGTTGCCATTTGTGAGTTTAGCATGAAATGTTATACATATCTCAAAGTGGATGATGCATAGAAGGGCAACTAAATATAAACATTAGAAGGTGGAATTAGAAATTTAGATATTAGTTAATAAATATATAGACCTTAGACCATTCAACAATAAAATATCTAAATAAACAGATTGGTAGGAAAAATTTCAAATTAAAACAAGAGGATATTATTTTTATTCCCTTCAGTTTATCAGTAAAACAAAAAAAAGAAAAAGCTCATAACATGTATGACTTATGACTAAGAATGCTGGTAACCATTCTGACACTTTGCTGGTAGGATTGAAAGACATCTGAAAATATCTATTAAATAAAAAAATATGATTTTCATTTGGCTCAGCAACTCACATATAGGATACTGCAAAGGCATAAAAACTGGAAAGAGGGCCGGGGATTTAGCTCAGTGGTTCTGCTGCCTGCCTCGCAACTGCAAGGTCCCATGTTCGATCCCCGGTACCAAAGCAACAACAACAATAAAACAGAAACAAAAAACCTGAAAAGAGTCTGAATATCCATTGGTAGGAGAATGGCTGAATAAATCATGGCATTTTTATACTGTAGAATCATGTGGTACAGTAGTCTTAACTAAAATATGTACATGCTTCAATTAAAAGATTGTTTGGCTAGGGATTTAGCTCAGTGGTGCTGCCTCCTGCCTTGCAAGCACTAGGTTCCAAGTTTGATCCCCAGTACAAAAACACAAAAAAACTCATGTTGTTAAAATAGTGTTAAATTAAAAAGCAAATTTGAATCCATGTGTTTATGACAATATTTTCATTAAATACAGCAAAAGCCTGTATTTTTCATATAAGTTTTACAGTAGCAGAGAAATATGTGGAATAACACAGTGCAAACTTTTAATATTGATTAACTTAATGGAATAGTTTGGAAATAGAAGGTTATAATGTACTGCATATTTCTTATATATTTCTACTGTTTATTATATCAAGCATGAATTCTTTTATACATTTACAAATAAGAATAAAATGTAAAATATCTACCATTCAATAATATGAAAAGATAAGAGAAAGCATCCAAACAAATTTGTAATCCGAAATTTCTCTAAGTTTTATTTACACAAATTCAGCTTTTAAATTCTAATACTAGGGTATTAGACTGGGTCCATATCATCTCTGGCTGCATGGGTGCGTGTTGCTTTTCTGGCCAGTCAGCTTGTGTGTTTGGCTTATAATATTTTCTTACATTCTTAAATGTCTAGGTACTATGTTCTCTGAAAATACATTTCAAATATATTTGTTATGAACTGTTATTCAGTGAATTAAAGATGGCTGTAAAACTTGGAAAAACATTCTCAAAATTCATGAACTTTTCTCTATTTTGAATTCATTCTTCCAGTCAATGGTCTTACCTACATAATAGATTTTCAGCTCTGTCTTTAATCCAATGACTTCTAAATTTGTGTCTTCAGATCAGACCTCTTCTCGGAGTTTTACACTTGTATATCTAATGAGATCATTAATATATTCATTTTGAAATATTAAAGATACCTCCAAATTTTATAGGAAATGCCAATCTCATGATCTTTCCCTCTAAACTCAACCCTCCCTTATTGTTAATGACATTATAATCTACCCTGTCAGATAAATTTGAAACGAGGGTCATTCTAGATACTGTTCTGTCTTTCGCTAATCTCTATATCCAATTGATGTCAATCCTCTAATTGTGTTCATTTTACCTCCTGGATATCTTTCTAATGTTTTCCCTTCTCTTATCTCCTCTGTTCTTCCCCGTCTAAGCTACTATAATGACTCATCTAGTTCTTTGCAATAAGATGCTAATGACGTTTCATATTTACATCATTTTCCATTTTTCAAAAATAATTTTATATTTAAAGAATTCACAACTCATCATGCTTATTACCCTCCACCCCAACTTCCTGCTTTGGGACTGAAGACAAAACTATCAGCACCCTGAAATTTGAGATATGCTCCTTGCTTTCTAGAATTCAGTGACAAGACTTTTTAATTGCTCCGGAGGCCTGTGCTTCTTTCAGAGTCAGGGCTTCCTTCTGTTTAATCTTTTCTTTCTGCCTACTAAGCTCAACCTTTAGGCTTTAGCCCCAGTGTTATTTCCTTAGAGAAGATTTTTCTTCCTTCTGAACGAGGTTAGCACCCTTTCATAATTTTCTCCACTGTTAATAAGGTTACACATTGATTTTCTGGTTAACATTTCCCTCCCCAACAGGAGTGGAAGCCTCCTATGGAAAGGGCCCAGTCTATTTTGTTCCCAATTGGAACAAAATGCCTGAGCATGGTAAATGAGTTTCCACAGACAAGTTCTAAACTCAACTGATGATGTGCTCAATTTTCACTGTGAATAAAATGGAATATTTCATTGCTTTGCATAATTAAATAATCTTAACTTCTAGAACTTTATGTACTCATATTTACTAAAACTAATTGATAAAAATTCAATACTCATGGAAATAGAGAACTCTGTATTATGCCCTATATACCTCATACAGCTCTCATTGCTCAAATCATCTTTTTAGAGATACTATTGATTGCTACTCATTCTAGAGAACACCTAGAAGTAACTTCAAGCTCCTCATCACCTACTAAAATTTATATAAAATATGCATTACAGAACATTTTAGAACTAAATAGGTTAATTTATTATTGTAACATTTCAATTTGTAGTCTAGTAGTTAGCAGGGTTAAATATAATCAATAGGGTTTATCTCTATAGTAAAAGAAGACACAATGCAAAGATAAATACCAACTGAATTCACCATTAAACTTTGAATTGATAAAGGTGAGAGTAACCAATCTCTACAAACAAGATTAAATATCAGTGTATGACGACAATTGTTTTGCAAGGATTCTTACATATTTCTATTAACAGATTTTATATGCTCATGTAAATTGCTAAGTTAAAAATCGGTGAACTGCATCATAGTCATTTGATTACTTTTTAATGCACATGAAATTGAATTTTAAAGTAGTTTACAAATCAATTTTGCAAGCTTATTACAAAGCAGTGAAGGTCAATGTCTGCTTTTATTCATTCTTTATCAATTACATTACCCTCCTCCTTTAAAAAGTGGTTCACTGGATTTCTTAGATTAATGACCACACAAAGCATTTAGTTTGCTCCTGTAGTTTAGTCATAGCCAAGGTGGTACAGATGGTCATTTCTACATCACTAGGCTAATATGACCATGTTATATTGCATTATAGATTTAGTGGTCTAAAGGTAGCTCATCTGGAAAGAATGCACATTGAGAAATTGTTCAATGCTAGCACTTTCAGGCAAGAAATGTAAAATATACATAAGTGCACTTTTGTTATGGATCTTAACACTAAAAGTGTTATTTAAATAAAGTATCATATTTTCTTTCTAAGTTGCATAATTAAAAGAGATACTATTTGGCCTCTTATCATCTGAAATGCTCAGTAAATCTCATATAAGAAAAATAGAATAAGAGTTTTTACAACTTTTATGCATTCCCAGAAAGAACCATAGGTAATGATTTACTATTTACATAAACATGGTTTAGTTTGGACACACCATTTTTTAAAATCTATAAAAGTTTAGAGTTGACACAGTTGCTCACATTTAGGAATGTTAGAAATAATCATCTTTCTTAATGGAAAAACAAATGTTTTGCAGAAGTCTACATTTACTTTTAATCATTGAAATTCTTCACAACTGTAAGTTCCCAATCATTTCCTCATTTCAATTTCTCATCACTTCTACAAACCCTTAAAGTTTTGATTATCTAGTAATTTTTAGGCCAATAAAAAAGTAAAAGCATTTAACTCTTGCTTTGTTCTGCTTAGTTGAATTACGGGCTGAAAAACAGAGAAAAGTAAGTGTGAGTAGTCATGCAGACTAGAGATGTGGTGAGGAAAAGAGAGGGCTTGTTTTGTGTGCGTGTGTGGGAGAGAGGATAAGGAATGCTGGACAAACCACAAGCGGAGGTCTTCCCCCCATGAAGTATTAAGGGTGGTCAGAGAGTATCTTCAATTAGAATCCTGAAAATAAACTGTCCAAAAGGTTTAATGGGGAGTAATTTCAGGACACATATCTATAAGGAAGATAGGCTTGGGAAGAGGAAGCTAAAACTGCTTTCTAAATGTAACTGACGCTTCAGCCAAGTCTCTGGGAACTTGGAGCTGGAACAGTCCTTTGGCGTCTCTGCTGCTGCTGTAATTCTCTTGTCCTGCTGTAGCATTAACTCCTCTTTGACCTCTGCCTACTGCCTTAGGAGTCACATTACATCTGGACTCCAGTTTGGTGTTATACTCACTGCTGCTAAATTGAAGCCAAAGTATTTAGTATTTGTGTCTGCATCATCCAATTACTGAGTACAGTCACCCCATGGGAAAG